TTCATAAAACTCCAGATAGACTTACCAAAAAAAAAAAAACCCACCCAAAACCGAAAAAAAAAAAAACCCACCCAGAAAAGCCTTCATTTCACCCAAATGTATGGTGTGCGCAGGGCTGTGTTAGCTGCCTCAGTAATTTAATTGGAATGAAACGTGAAAAATGTGTCATTTTTTGAAGAATTTATGCATCGCTTCCTGGAAATCTCATTGTCTTAACTAGCAGCCTACTGTGTTCTGTTTAGCAGGCATAATCGCATTTTTATGTGTCTCCGTATTATAAGTTAATGTGACCTCCCGTCTTTAGCGGCTGGAAAAAAAAAATAATAAAAATGATCCTTTCCCATAACATCTGCATCAAAACAAGGCTCTGGCAGAAGGGGAAAATAAAAAAAAAAAAAATTTAAAAAAAGATGCTTTAAAAAGTACAAAAATTAAGAACTTTTGACAAATGTGTTTTAGTCATTGCTAAGGTTAATTCAAAATATAAATCACCAGAGGTGTGACTTCACTGGGAACAGGCAGCTTTCCATCCAAAATAAATCTGGGGCACAGAATAAAATCCGCACAACCTCAATGGTGCAGACCTGCTGTATTTTTTTATTCCTCCCCCCCGCCCTTTGATGTGCATTTTTGCTCCCCAGCAGTAGCTGCAGGATGGTGAGCCGAGGTCATGGATTTTGGGGGAGGATGTGATCACCTGGTGGGACCCTATCTCCATGCAAAGTCACCCAATACGGATGTAAAACGCATCATTCTTCCTGCTTGGGGACCACACAAAAGATGAAAGACTCATTAGAGGCACCAAAATTTAGATTTGGCTGGTTCAACCACAGAATGACTTAGCCAGGAGGTGTTTTCCCTAAATCCCCTTCAATCTTCCCCTTCCCCCTCCAATCCCTGCTCCGACCATTGAAACAAACCAAAAAGTAAAACAGCCACTAAAGTCACGAAGTGCCAGGTCTCAAGGTGTCACGGAGATTTGCCGTGGGGCTTTGCCATGGGGCATTCCCGTGTGGGACAGGACTCGGGCACCAAAGGTGGGGAACATGGCAGGGGGCTTGGCAATGACCTTGCACATCCGTATCCAACTTAAAGGGTGAGGAAAGCTGTGGAAGCAGCAGGGGGAAGCTGGCCAGGGGGGAGTGCGTATGTAGGGATTTCCTTTCTCTCCCCATTTCCAGGCTCCCTGCTCCACAGGTGCCAGCTCTGGGAGCCAGGAATGCTGCCTGCATCCTGCACACGTCAACTGTATCACCTGCAATAGTGCTGGGTGCTGGTGCGAAGTCCAGTCAAACACGCCAAAAGGCTGATTTATTTTTATATATATATTTAAATACTGGGTGTTGTAATTAAACAGTGGAACAATTTGGTGAGTGCCGTGGCAGAGCTGCTAGCGTAAGGACAGCTGTTCTTCCGCGGGGCATGTGCACACGCTTGCTTTTGGTTCAACAGAAATTAATTTGGGGAGCCTGAGGGTCTGGGAAAACAAATCCTCGCTCCTCCTGATACCTTTTGCCAAGTCACCGTGGGAAAAGAAAGCCCAAACTCCACCCTGTGGGGTTGCCGCCGGGCTTTCCAGTCCCTCCGCGTGCCAGCCTGGGAGTAGCAATGGGCATGATGGGAACGGGAGGTGCTGGTGCATCTCTTGGGCCATGGGGAGCCCGGGGGGAATGGGGGGCTGTGTCACCCCCCGCCTCTGGTCCTGCATGGAGTAACCAGCTCATTCTTGGTGGCTTCTACATCAAAAAATAGGGCTTTTTTTGTCTATTTTACAGTCTCTATTAATGCCACTGGATATGGTATCCTGCTAACGGCTTCCACGATGCACCTCTGGTCCCAATTCCGCTTGTGCCACTCACAGGGGAGATCTATCCAAAGCCCACGTGGGCTGATTTTAGTCGTCTGCCGTGCAGGCTTGCCTTTGCACACCTGAGGAGCCCCGCTGCTTTGCAGAGATCCTTTATAATGAGTACTATTCATATCTGCGGCATGCTTGTAACAGCTACTAATCATTTTATTACTCTTTATAATCTATTTAAAGCACAATTAGAAAAAAATCTATACAAAGTTACAGCCGAAAGCACATTTTAGTTACGTTATAAATCCCTGAAAAACAACCATCCGTCATGAAAACCGGCGCTCCTCGCTCGGCTGACAGAAATGGATGCTGCTGCACTACACCGAGGGACAAGGAGGTAAGGGAGGGCTGGACGGCAGACCGCGGTCGGCTCCTCTCGGCCCTTCAAAGCACGACTCCTTCAGGCTCCAGCAGCAGGTAATTGTGCAAAGGCTTGGGCACAGGCAGCAAGGGGATAAGGCAATGGCATTTGCTGCCAAACTTTTTCCGAATGGCGGAGCGGCATAAATGTTGCAGGCACCGGACTGTGCCTGCCAGCTGGAAAAAGGACTCGTAGAATAGCTGGTGCTGCTGCAAAGGGGAGGGGGGGGGAAACACTGAGCATCAGTTGGTTTTATTTTTTTTTCCTGCTTAAGCCAACAAGCCAGAGATACTCGAGATCAGGATCTAAGGGGAGGAGGTAAGAAACCCATCGGCGATGTTTGCCCGTGGGTTAAAGGTCTGTGCGCTGACGTGGCTCCTGCAAGCAAAGGCTGGGTGAGGAATTCTCATGCGTGAAGAAACCCAGCCTCACCGCAGGCACTGTTTGGGGAGGAGGCTTTCATGCCCACTGGCAGCAGCATCCCTGCGGAAAGCCTTAGAGCTGATATAGAAGAGACCCGCTTGTTTCTAAGATGAGGAAACAAAGCAGGATCCGTCTATGCTGCCTCAGCCTTTCCTTAGCTTGAAATAAAAATCATTTCTCCCATCCCCTAGAATGTGCTGAAATTGCAATGCCACCCCCCCCCCCCCCCCCTTCCAGCCACGCTAACCGAAGACCTGCAGCCATCCAAGATCAGTCAAGAGCAGACTGGCTCTACCTGCTGCACATCTGGGGACAGGATTTTTAAAATCAGAATTAGTGGCGTGGGCTCCTGCCAGGCAGCAGTCTGGCTTTAGGGTCACTTCCAGATGTTTGGATTGCATTTTATTGTGGGCCAGGGGCAGGAATGGGGGTTTTGGTGTTCATGGAGCTAAAGGGATGCAAAGCTGCTGGGATGAATTGGGTGTGCAGTGGTGCTCTGAGGACTATCCCCTTTTTTTTCCCCCCCATCCAAGTGAAGTTTGGGTAGAGAAAGAAACTCTCGGTGGGTAAAACCCCTCCTCGGGGCTTAGCCCTCCCTGCCAAACTGCCAGCACTGTCTCACCTGAAACACCTCCTCCGGCACGGCCTCGGCCCACTTCTCAGAGATGGGGATTTGCGAGTAGGAATTGAAGAGGACTTCGATGATCTCCGGCACGGCTGCGCAGGACTTCAGCACCTGGTTGTGGGCAATGTGAGGGGGTTCAGACAGAGATTCGTGTCCTGGAGGGGCAGAGCACCCATGTCCTGCAGCTGGGGCTCGTCCCACCCCACTGCGGTCCAGGCTGGGATAGTCCCGTGTCAGAATAAGGCAGGTGTAGGGTTTATCCTGGCATGCTTTGAAGATCTTTCTCCATCTGTGAAGTGGTAGGAAGACCTGCCTGTGGCACTTCTTCCTCTGGATGTGGCCCTTGCTTCTTATTTACATTTTTGGCTTGTGCGTGATAAGCCAGGATAATATTTTCTTTATTGTTTGATGTAGAATCAATTAAATGCAGAACCATAAGGCGGCTGCACTGATGGCTGATGTACCAAGCCTATCTCTGGCATCCCCAGGCAGGCAAAAAATCCTCCTTGCCAGTCCCCCCTGCCTGTGCTGGCTCCATCGTGCCCTTCACCCTGCCCTGCCTGCTTTTCCCCGCTGCCACCCTCCGTGAGTGTTTTTGTTTCCATCATTCCCCGCACCATCACCAACCCTGATGCCATGGCCCCTCTCCCTGCCTGGACTGGGAGGCTCTCCCAAATTCTCCCAACTCTGTGTTTTTTTATTTCCCAAAGCATGCCAACCCCAAAATCCCAGGTGCTGGGGGATGCGCAGGGGCTGTTTGGGGTCGGTACCTTGACGAAGGCGGGGGGCCATATCTTCTGGGAGCCATGGTTGAGCAGCAGCTGGACAGCGAGGTGAGGCCGCAGCTCCCTCTTGAAGGCGGCGCTCTGCAGCGCGCAGCCCAGCGGGGAGATGCCATTGTAGTCGATGGCGTTGAC